TTGGAGATACAGGGTGTAAAAGTTTCATTTTTATTTCGATGTTTTCCAAATAGTTTCTGAAGTAACGTCAATATTTGGATGAAAATTGGTGTCTGGGAGTTTTTTGACATGAGAAATTTAATTTTAATGTCAATATGTCTCCTAATTGTAGAGGGCGCCACCTATATATTTTTAACTGGTTTGAAGAGTAATAACTTTTCGTCCGTACCTGTATAAAACTACTGAGTAAAAAAATATACATTTGCGACGCTTTCCACATAAAAAAGGTCTCTTGCTAAAAATCGTTACGAGTAATGGTTCTCGAGATATTTCGAATCGAAGTTATCAATACCTGTCATCATTGACATAAATTAAACATGTTGACTAAATAATTATTAGACTGAAATGATAAATTTGAAATGTTTTTGTACCAAAAATTCAACAGAAACTGTTTTATCATAATTTTTTCGAAGAAAATTTATAATTAATTTAAAAAAATAAAAAAGTTTTCCAAATTTATCATTTCATTTCATCAGTCATTTATCATCTACTCAACATGTTTATTTTCAGTCAATAATGCCATGTATTGACTATTTCCATTCTAAATATCTCGAGAACGGTTGCTCGTAACGATTTTTACCAAGAGAAATTTTTTACGTAAAAAATCACGGAAATGTATACAGGCAGTCCTCGATTTACGTCGTTTCGAGTTACGTCGAACAAATTTTTGTCACTATTCCTCAATGTTACGTCCCACTGTTTCGAGTTACGTCATTTTTTGAAAAGAACGATCCAAATTTTAAAAGAAGTTTGGATATAAACAATAAAATTTTAGCAACATACAAGCAGGGTTGACAGATCCTCATAATGAAAAAGCGGGACAGTGTTGATCATTACTTAATTAGCAATTATTACGACTTTAGACGATACCCACAATAAAAGTTCCAACCAAAAAAAAATAAATATATACTTTCTAAATATGTCTACTTTACTCTCTGGTATTTCTGTAGTTGCCATATTAGTGTATGTATTATATTTACTATTATATGGATAGTTAAAAATACTTTTTTGATTAGATATTGAAAAGCCGGGACTGTAAAAATACTCGCCCTAATTTGTTTTTCATAAAAAACATACTTTTTTTATATTTTTGTTTGTTTCTTGTATTATTATAAGTTTAACTACATTACAATACACTGTTTCTCATACCTCAATTATCTAAAAATACAATAATATTAATATATACAAACGCACATCTCTTTGTTTTATCGTATTTTTATCTTACAAAAGTACCTAACTTCTCCATTTTCTATAGGATCTTAAGACAAAATAAGATTCGACTTACGTCGTTTCGACTTAAGGCGCTATTTTGAAGAACCTAACCTGCCGTAAGTACGAGGACTGCCTGTATTTCTTTACTCAGTAATTTTATACAGGATGAAAAGTTATTAGTCTTTAAAACAGTTAAAACACATGTAGGTGGCGCTCTCTACAAGTAGGAATCATATTGACATCAAAATCAAATTTCTCATGTCAAAAAACTCCCAGACACCAATTTTCATCCAAATATTGACGTTACTTCAGAAATTATTTGAAAAAAATCAAAATAAAAATGAATCTTCTACACCCTGTATCCTCGAAACTAAGCATTTTAGGATAATACGAACTTTTTTACTTATTTTTATCTGCAGACTATGCTGCCGAAGTTTCCGGAATACAGTTCGGACCACCCTGTATAATATAATATATCATTCATATCCTAGTAACATTACCCATTCACAAAATTTCTAGCAAAATCATATGCTCGAATATAAATGCTCGATAATGATACAAGCTGATATATTGGAGACAATAATTATTATTGCCATAATTCATTAACATTTAATATTTTGTTAGTCTTTATTATTTTTTTATTACTCAATACTATACATTCTAAAATGAATGCCCCTTCAAATGATTTATTAATTAATAATCCCTTAGCACAGATTAACTTATAGATGTGGCACTTATTTCATCTTGCTGATAAACTCCGCCGTTTGTAGGGCTATAATAGTGATGTGAAAACCCCATCTTAATATCTCTATTCATAAACGAGAAACCCCGTAAAATACATGGGGACACCCTGTACATATCCCCCAGTTTTAATTTCTAGACAATCTTTTTCCCTCGATAAATTATATTTGTTAAAGAAATTAATTAACCTTTCCATTAATTACAAACCAAACATTCTATTAAATACTTCGGATACTAATTCGGATCACTGCCTAAATAAGTAATCAAAAATATTTGTTTATAAACATGGTAATTTGTTTAGAGAATGATAACGTTCTATCAACAATGTTAATTAAATTATTCAAATTTTCAGTTAATAAAATTAATATGTTTAATTTATAATACTACATTTATTAAACTTTAAGTACGACTCTATCATACCCGGTAATCCTGTGTTTCGAAAAAGCTATCTTAGATATCATTATTTCCTCGGATTTCCTATTTGAAATATTCAGTATTAAGTACCTACTTCTCAAATCCTTATTTTCGGGACTATACATACACCGGGATACCGGGATTTCGGGATCCCGGTTTGAAAACCCCTCCGGAAACCATAAGTAGTAACCTGTGTTCATAGTAGGTAACATATGTATGTCACCTGATCCGAGACCTGATCATGTTTCTGTGCTGTTCTTGTTACACTGCCATAATACCGTATGATAAAAAAAACGGCGTCAGCGATGGCTATGAAATAAAGATCGCTGTCATTTCGTATGTAAAATTATATGGGGAATGTCATTGATGTACATTTCCAAGCCAACTGGATGCAGTAGTCTTTCGATCATACGGTAGTAGGCACTAATAATTATGGATAGGTATAAATTCTAATACAGAATAAAGGCAGGGACACACCTATCATGCATGTTTCCGATCCGCCTCCGATCATACAGTCGGACGACTGTATGAGAGGGAAATCGTACGTTATTTTAACCAGCGTAGTTTACACCTTTCCGATACGTGATTCATCCCCGCTCATACTCGACTCCGTTCCTGCATCCGTTCGTGTTCCGATTGTGATGGTGGGTTCATACAGCCAAATAAAATAAAATAAGAATAAAATAAAATAAGAAATAAGGAATTCTTATTTGTGTGCGTTCATACAGTCAAATAAAATAAAATAAGAAATATATATTTGCTCATGCGCAGTACGATGAGGCTGGATAAAAGTTAACTTTTACGATTGTTTATAGTAATTTTACTATTTATAGTATATTTATTTATTCGTTGCCTACTATATTATACATTTTACTTATGTGAAATTATAAAATAAATTAAATCCAAACTGAAAATATTTGTAGGTTAGAATTAAGCGTGCGCAAAGCCGTTTTCACATAAAATAAAACAAGAAGTTTAAAAGATAAAGACTTCTTATTTTATTTGGCTGTATGAACGCATGTACGGTATCCCATATAACCAACTTTCTTATTTTATTTTATTTTATTCTTATTTTATTTTATTTGACTGTATGAACCCACCATCAGTCTATTCGTCGATGCCGGCTGTGGGACGAGTGTTCGTTTTGAACTATTTTGTTTTTGTTTATTTTTGTTTTTGCTGTGTTATTTTTAGTTTTTTACTAAAATAATAAAAATGTCAACAATAAAACCGGAGGAACTAATTGAAGAAGTGAGGAAATATCCAGTGCTGTATGACCAGACCAAAGAGCGGTACCGAAACTCCGACTACAAAGACATGAAATCTGCGTTTTTGGCTGTTCTCTATAAAAACTTCCTCATTTTCCTCATCTTCCAAACAAAGTGCCAGCATGGCTAAATCACTGTTGCTAAAACTATTAAACATTTTGCGCACACGACTTCATGCGATGATTGTTGAAACAAGATTGGCGATTGTATCCAGCCGAAGCCCGAAATCGTGAAGGAGTCGGAAGCATGTATGACATGTGTGTACTCACCATTTCCGATCCCACAGCGATCCGCTTCTGGGGCAAAATCGAACCGGAGCCGGATCGGAAACGTGCATGATAGGTGTGTCCCGGCCTTTTGACGAGGGAAGGTATAGAATTTCGTGAAAAAAAAGTCATCTGAATAACTTCATCACTGTTCAATAAAAGAGAATGTCGGTAATTAAAGTACATTTAGACTTTATTAACCAAAAGTTATAAACATTATTTACCAAAGGATATTGTAAGCACTACTACAATATTATCTTTTGTCAATACATTAAGTAGGTACCATACGACCGAAAAAAAAGGATTAGTGATTTCCAAGCCAATAGAAAGCCAAGCCTTTTTTTTTTTCAATCATACCTACTCTTTTTATAGATTTCAACGATTCTATTATTTAGTTAGTTTCTATGGTTAGTTTACTTGGAGTATAATATGTTATAATAATAATGGCTTGTTTATAATGTTTTTATTAAGTATTTTTTCAGATTGAATAACTATAGGGATATTACTTAATAATTACAAAATTCACTTGCAACAGGCTGAGAGAGGGTTAAGGAAATGATTGCAAACAGGTTTCGTTGGACATTTATTATATGGTGAACTCGAATAAGACAGACGATGTCTGGCAGCTGAAATATTGCAAAGTGAAGGTCTTTGCGCTGACTACGGTTCGCGGGACCGGCATCGGCATTCCTCCATTCAATTTTAATTTAACGTCGTATGGTTTAAACGTTGCTCTAAAGACGGCAAAAAACTTGAACCACATATAATTACAGACAGAACGTTGTAGAAGTCGCAAGTGAAATAACCGTTACCTTTTAATAATTCAACAAAATATTTTATCCGATTTTATCTAAACTGGTGAAAAAACGCTCAAGGCTGTGTTAAAAGCTTTGAATAATTCATTACCAATTAGGTAAATACCTATTATTTATCAAATTTCTGCAAAAATTAAGTTCTCTGACCTCTTAAGGACAGCTCTAATTTAATAAATAATAATAGTATTATTAAAATGAGAGGAGAGGAATACTTAATTATAATTTAACAAATTATAAAAACTTACCCTCATATTATTAGTAACAATAGTTTCGTAGGAACACATCTGATAAACGATGAGAGCTCGCAAAAGTTCCCAGTTCGTTTTGCTCTTAAAGGCCGCCTTTGCATCTTCAAAAGTTAAATCTAAAGGATCCTTCGGACTCTGAACTGCTTGCTTCTGTTGGTCTTGAACTATACTTGCTGCTGCCGTAGATTTTTGAAGGGCCTGATTCACATCGATTTTAGAACCGAAACCGCTATTTAAATTATCGATCAGTAATCCGTACTTTTTGTAAACACTGCACCTGATCACTGTACGAAGAAAAGCCATTTAATCGAAGTACTGGGGCGAAAAAGAATTTTTGTGTCGATCCGAGAGAAAATTTTAGCCGGGTTCCTGCTCGCTGCTACTCTGCTTTACACCTGGCGTATTGGCGATGGGAACTTTGAGTAATTTCACTTATCGAGCTGCAAAACACGACTAAATTCGACTGACGTTGACGTTTCGTTATTTTTAACCGCTAAACTGCGCATACGCCGTGGTATAAATTTGCCGGCCGGTTAATGACAAAAAGGAACGGCGCCAAAGAAATAGATTATGGATTTCTTGGAAAACTCCTCGGAGAAGTCTTTTTGAAAATCTATCTCAGAAAAAAAGACGTATGGACGTATCTATTTGTTTTGTCCTTTTTGTGGTCCCTTTTGACACTGACAGATATGACAAAAAATAGTAGTTTAGTGGTTTAAATTCGTTTTAGGGGTTTTATAACTTTTTAAATAAATCCATCCCTTATTTTTATTATACAAAATACTACGTAAATAGATAATACTTTAGGTAGAACTACAACTGATACCAGAGCTGATACCTACTTATAGTTTGTTATTATTTTTAATTTTAAAAAATGTTCATAATAATTTATTTGTATCAAATAACTTATGCAACCAAAAATACATTTGATTCAAATGGAGAATCTTATATATGGTAGATATAGAAAGAATTTTTAATCTTTGATTTTATTCAAATAATGAATGAATAAATATCTTTTTCCAAACTAATTAAAATCCTTACTGTTTTCTAAGACAGAAAAAATGCGATTTGTTTATTTTCAAATAAATTTTGAGTCAAAGCGGTTTGGAAATTACGAACGCTGCTACCAAGGTGCTACAAGGGTGCTACCCAAGGGTGCTACCTAATGTCATAGATAACAGAATATTATGTAAAAAAATATACAGAGTGTCCCAATATTCCATGGATATAGCATAGAACTACTACGTATTTTTGGAATCAAAATAAGTTCGTTGGACACAATTTATGTCTATACAAAAATGCCTCGTTTGTCCACTAGACGGCATCAAACTAAAAAAAATCAAATATTTTAAGAACTGTTATTTTGATTTGAATGAGATTTTGGGTGTCTATGTCTTGCTAAGTGCTTTAACATTTCACTTTCGCAAAAATCAAGAAAAAGTACGGGAAGGATGAAAACTACCCCCACCCCTACATAAATTTTAGTAGAAATATTTTCCAACTCCACGGACGACAACAGATTTTCTAAATACTAGAGGGACCATTTTACGAAAAAAAAATCTGCCATTGGTGGAGTTAAATAATCCTCCAAATTTGTTTCTTTCTACATTGAATTAACATTTATTGATCCTTTCGTCAGTAAAGAACTAACGGGTGTAAATATAACTAACAAAAGTAAAGAATACATAATCATAGGTATAGACATATTTTATACATAGTCTACATTACATTCGACAGAATAATTATTTTTTCACCTGTAAATATTTAATGCTTTAAAAGGCTTTAACAGAATGATGCGGAATATTTTATTTATTTATTTATTTTACTCATTACAAACACCTATTGAGGTAGCTACATGCAAAGGCCCAAAGAAAACAAATACAATTACAATTACTTAAAACTAGACATGTACTACAAAAGTACATAAAAATAATATAAAATAAAGTATATATAATAATAAATAAAGTAAATAAGTAACAAAGTACATAACATTTAATTTATAAATGTGCAATAAAAAAACAATGAAACCTATCACACCAGATTTGTCTCCTGATGCACCAACAAGATGCGCCTAAGTTCGCAAACCTAATGCTAAATATATGGGGAATTGTGTTCCCAGACAACATATCATTACAAATGGTGAGCATAAACGTGAATGGCGAGGGGCTTCCACCCTCAATGTAAAAAAGATTAAACTAACTCACTCTCAACCTAATCTTTGGTACCCTAAATTTGATGCTATTAATCAGACCACAGTCAGCATATTTTAAATTATTAAGAATGTTATATATAAAGATGACAGCATGTGTCCTTCTCCTAGAGGCCAGCGAAGTTAAATGAAATGTTTCCAACATTGATCTGTAAGAGATCATTGTTGGATACATGTTGTTTCTTTTAATGTAAATATAACGAAGGAAACGTTTTGAACCTTCTCAATCTCGTTACTGTGAGTGTAACAATTGGGAGACCAGATATTTGACGCATATTCAAGATGCGGTCTTACAAGAGAGGTATAAAGTCTTGTAGTTGATTGTATATCGAAATCTTTACTATTACGCATAACAAAACCAAGAATCCTATACGCCTTGTTAATCAGGTAGTTGTAATGATTGTTAAATTTAAAATTGTCCTGAAAAACCACTCCTAGGTCTTCCTTCCTTACACCTCACAACCTTACAATTTCCAATGTAGTAGTCTTCAATGGCTGTATTGATCTTCTTATTCTTTCTTAATAAAGAGAAGATATTTATTATTATATCAGTAAAATCATCAGATTGTTGAAGAGCTGTGAAAAGATCTTTTTAGATTGAAAGAAAGGCAAGTGGCGATAAACGTTTATTTTTCATGGAATCTTTACTATAAATTTTAATGCATTTCAAACATGAAACATGTCTCTCAACCCAAGTACTTGTAAATGGTGTAGTAACAAACAAAACAAACAATTTGAAAGCCTCTGCAAATATATTTCCAGGATGTAGAATGTAGAATGTTTAGGAGGGGAGTTAATCACCGCGACCTTATAGATCTATTGTGTCTTCCCCTTTCTTGAGTTATAACGAGTTATAACTCATCATACAGTCTCAGGACTTTAACAAAAGCCAGTATCTGAGACGGCTTCACAGAGGCCAGCTCTCCATTCTCGACATCAGACGTACCAAAGGTCATGGTACGAAAGGTCGTCGTCTCGGCGCACTCAGTGATAAGGTGTTCTGGTGTTTCCCCATTTTCCCCACAGAATCTGCATTCGCCGTTGTTTCTCAGCTTCAGCCTACTGAGGTGTTCGTTGAGGAGACAGTGTCCTGTTAGAAACCCCGTGACAATCCGAAGATTGTTTTTACTTCACTCAAGGAAAAACTTTGATTTTTTGAGTTTCTTAGACCGTTGGAGGACACCCATTCCAAGTTACGGATGGAGTCTTCCAGATTCTTCAGTTCCGCTTTCAGTTTGGAAAACAGAACGGTTCTGGTCCAGTTAATGGAGTGTTCACTCCTTTCCTAGCTAGATCATTTGCATTTTCATTGCCTTCTATCACTTGGTGAGCAGGCACCCAGAGTAGGAGGACTTTATTTTCTTTGCCTAATTTGTTGAGCTTCTCTAGGCATTCTTTGACCAACTTCGAATTGATGGTTACTGAGTTGACCATTGGATAGGATGGCAATTTCCTGTTTTCGATAGTTCCTATCTAAGATAGATTGTACGCATCTTTCGATAGCGTAAATTTCTGCCTGAAGGATACTGGGGTAGGTGCCCATTGGTTCGGAGTATTTAGTTTTCGGCCCAAATACTCCTATCCCTGTCCTTGCTTTGGTTTTGGAAGCATCAGTATACCACGTGATGGTATGGTCTTTTATATGCTGAGTAAGCGTTTCTTTCCTTCCAATCCTTTTTATTACTCAATACTACAATGAGGTGTTTCTCAAAGTTGTAAATTCTTGGTATGTGATCCACTGGGAGTTGGAGAAGTGAAATTTTCTTTTTGAGGGAAGCCCCTGACCTGAAAATTCTCCCAGTACTGTTTTCGTCAATGAATTTCCAGGATTATTCTCCTTAAATTATTTTATGCTCGAAATTATCATATCTATTATTAATACCTACAATTTATTCATTAATTTATGTTGATCAATAACATTTTTTGTTTGTTAAATCACTATTAAATGCGTTGGAAGTTGGAAATGTATCAATACCTATAACAAGTTTGTTAAATCAGATGTTAAATGCGTTGGAATTTTTTTATAGGATTCTTTAAATTTCGGATCCGTAAGAGATAAATAAAAATAATTGAGACAAACGAGTACCTATCTGCAAACCTTATTTCTAAATGTATACAATGTTATCTAATATTTCATAAAATAAAATTCGCAAAGATATTTGACTTAGCCGCTTTTATTAACATATCGAATTAAAATAGCACAGATACTTTTCTGTAATATCTGTTGTATGGTCTTCTTGCACCGAATAAAATAACACGCTTTCTTATTTCGGATTCTTTTATTTCTGTGGCGTGTTCTGAAATACAACCGGTTATATCATTTTTAATAATTTCGGACAAGCCCGAAAAATGTTTCTAATTTGCTTTAAACGTTTTTTGAATTTTCATATAAAAGTTTTAAATGCTACGTTTAATGAATCATATGAAATATCCCCTTAACGAAATGTGATATATCTCCTTATGAAATATCCGGAATATCCCCTTAACATCTAAGCCTACCGAGCCTCCACGACGTCATGCGAAGGCGACCGGAGATTTCGCCTAAGCCCCGCCTTAATACAACACAACTCCGACTTACGTCGCGTCGCTACCGCACGATGAGTTAGACAGAGACAGAAGACTGCCGTACGTCGTGCATCGACTCTGAGAGTAGGCGATGTAGAAATCGCCGAACAAAGGCACTCCAACGGTCAAAATTATTTTGTTTTCTCGCAGTTCGCAGCGGCAGCGGCACAGTCAGCGGTCAGTGTACGCCAGCGGTAGTGAATATGTTAATATACAAGACCACAAATATTAAAATAATATTGATTATTAAAACACACTTCCGTGTATTAACAGTATTTTTATGTATTGGCAACATTAATAGTAAATAATGTAATGCAATAAATCGCTTAAATTCTGCCAAAATCTTACGGTAGGCGCCGCCTACCTTGCCTACCCTGACGAGCCGCCACTGTAATGCATCAATGAAAATTATTATTAAAATAAAAATAGATTTAAGAATGTGACAAAAGATCGATTGAACATGAACCTTTTATACAGGGTCGTGCGTATACGGCAGCCGATCCGAGATCCGAGTAGTAAAAAAAATATCATTAGAAAACTCGAGCGCATATCTGAGCAAGGTGAGTTAATTACATGCAGAAAATTGGTGCATTTAAATAATCTTATGATTTAAGCGTAACATAAGAAAACGGAAGAATCACAAAGTTGAAAAAAAACGTCACATGGACATTCTCTATGGTTATTTTTTTTTCACCATCACCTTTCAGCTTATTCAACCATTTCCAAAAAGGGGAACTTTCCCTCACATACTCTCTTTGTAGTTGGGCCCACTGGTGTCCATTGTTGGCTATGCGGGCCCAAGTTATCCCTGCTAATTTTCTAATACAACGGTTCTATCTCAGGTTCGGTCTTTTTAGATGTAGATCTCTTAATTCGATTAAATCCTCGTAGGTATACCATGCTGTCATTCTTGAGGCCCATCTGTTCTTCTGGCCAGGTGTCCTGCCCATTGCTATTTGAGTGATTGCCATTTGACTCTGTGGATGACATCTATTATCTGCAGGGTTGGAAAAAATCATGATTTTTTTTAAAAAAATCAAAAAAACCGGATTTTTTTTATTTAAATCAGATTTTTTTTATTTAAATCAGATTTTTTTTGATTTTAATAGAAAACATTATTTAAATCGGATTTCCAAATAATTAGGACTCAATTCCAATTAAATTCCTATCCTATATGGCTAAATCTTCATAACTCTGCCCAATACTGACAACATTAACAACTCTACGGCGCGTATCATTTTCCCAGACATCGGTCACCAATATATTCTGCAAAAAAAGTCGCTCGCTTTAGATCAAAAGGATTTTTTTTGAAATGCCACAAGTGTATTAATTTTTGTAATTTCAACGTCTAGGCATAAAAGTAAAGCACTTTTTCGCCGAAGCACAAAAGTACAAAAATATATTATTAAACTGATATTAAGCGTCGTCAGTTTCAACGAGTGTACAAATTGTTACTCGATTACTTACAAGGCACTACTTTTTATATTATTTGCAACGTTTGGAATTGATTAAAAAATTATTTGTAATGTTTAATTTGTAAAAATATAGTATATTCTGCTCGTAGTAAAAATGTACTTTTGTGCCTCCCTGTTTACGCTAGTCCGTCAAACGTACAACATCATCAAAAAAAGTATAATTTTTACTCCTTACACAATACACTATTGTTCGGAAATAGTCTTAAGTCGAGAATGAAATTAGTATTATCTATCGTCAAAGTGTAAAATAAAAAGATATAAAACAGCATATTTTCTGACGATTTGAAGATATAATCTAACATCAAAAGAACCTTTTTCTACACTAGAGGTTGCGAATGAAATGTATTCGAACGGCATTTTTTTGTCACTTGTACATAAATTTCAAAATAAATCCCTGCCCTTTAGAAGTCTAATAGATTCACATGAAATTACTTCAAAAATCGGTCCAACATTTTAATTGATAAATAGATATGTAGTAGGTATATGTGTTATACAAATCATTTTTTATATAGTTTTATAACATTTACAATTTTTTTCGATTTATTAAACGTATTTAAACGTTACAAGAGTAAGTGTAACATTTTATTTAACGAATAGATATAGGATATATAGAAATGTCTTTATAGTTTTCTAGGACACGTTTTTATAACTTTTACAGTTATTTTTCGATTTATTGTAAAGTTTTAAAAAAGTTGATTTTTTGATTTAAATCACATGATTAAAATTTAAAAAATCACTTGATTTAAATCACGATATAAATCATGATTTAAATCATGCCAACCCTGATTATCTGGGTCTTTTGTCGTATCCACTTCTTTTACGGTCTCTGTTGGTTATTTTAATGTTTTTTTTTAATTTTTGACTAAGTAGACAAAAATAAGATACCATTGCTACAAATAATCGTACTTTATATTTAGAATATACCATTTCAAACCAAAACATTATTACGCGTTTTATTTTAAATTTTATTAATTCTTTACTAGGAATTGCTTTAGATAAACTATATCGTTCTCTAGAGTAAAATATGAAAAACTAATATTAATTGCATGATAAAATTTCTGGAACTATTTTATTGACAGAACATTCTTAAATATTAGTATTTTATCGAATTATATTTATAGGTATCAATTGGATATCAACATAAAAAATAAAGAGATGTAAAAGGATTAAGTGGGAAAAAATTACGGACATGTTTTCAAGAAATAGGTAACTGAAGAATATTGAGGATTAGGAATAGCTTTAACTTTTGTGGCTGGTTAATAAGTCGATGACTAGAAAACCGGGGTATTTCGCCATAGAAACAGAGGACGACCTCGCCAAAATTATTATCGATTGTCATTCCTCAGCCGTCTTTGACGCCGCTTTTTTTTTGATCGTATAGTAGTACTTATTTGGACCGAGATATAGAAAAAAGAAATTACACGCCAAACATTCTTTCAAGGCCTATACAAATGTATTGATATTTTATAGAAAAATTTAATCATTTCTGTACGACGGGAAATCAATTTGAGATTATACTTAACATAGATTTCGGTAGAGGGCAGGAACGGTTGTTAATTTAAGTTACGCTTGTGAGTTACGCCAAAAGAATCTACGTGAAAAACTCTGAGATAAAGTAGGACAGTAATATAAAAACTGCAACTTTATACGTCCACTCACAAACGAAATACCGTCTAAAACACATGGTAGTTTGACTTTTTGTGAATAATAATCAATATTGATAAATAGGTATACCCGATGCGTCTCAGAAGTGGCTCACCCCTATACTTTTTTATTTTTTCAGTTAAAAAAACGATGTTAGTATATGACACAAATTAGGATTGATTGACGTATTCAATTGTTTTCGGTCAATTCCTGTTTCACCGGAAATAACTATAAATTTTGATTTTTAAATCGCACCCTCGGTATTTTTGCTTTATTCGATAGAAAATTTTTTACTTATTTCGACTTCGACTTTTTTACTTATTTTTATCTTCTGAATATGCTGCCGAAGTTTTCGGAATACAGTTCGGACCACCCTGTATATACCAAGTGTGTGGTATCAAATTATTCGTAAAAAAAGCTTTTTACAAATATGCTAATCAGCCACTCTCGTTCCATTTGGAAAAATTGAGATATGATTAAAAATACGATTTGAGCATTTTCTAAATGGTCAGGACAAGACACTCTATTAACAGGAGAGAGGATGTCATTTAAAAATCCATAGTTGTAGTCATTTCTGGTGAAACAGGAAGTTACCAGAAACAATTGAATACGTCAATCAATCCTGATTTATGTCATATACTAACATACAAAATTTCGTTTTATTATCTGAAAAAATAAAAAAGTTATAGGGGTGAGCCACTTTTGAGACGCACCCGGTATTATTTTAGGGATATTCAAGACGGGTTGTGACTGAAATAAACAAAGATGTCCAACTGATATTCATTTATTTCAACAAAATAACAAGTCATTATCTGAAAGTAGTTACAAACTAAAAAATTGACGTGTACATTAACTCTGGCATTTTGTTTTAAAGTGTAGAAAAATTATCAGTTCGTCTAAACATTAGACGCCAAAGCGCAGACTTAAAAGTATATACCTTGTAAAACAGATAAAAATTAAAATATTCACAATTATTTACAACTGGGGAAACCCTTAGATCTTAATAATATATATTTATACTTTAATTTATGTACATTCCCATCTGCTTAGTACTAAACAAAACACATATACACAAATATAATTAAAATTTACAGCTAAGTTCCCTTTTACTTTCATTTAAAAAATACACTTGAAGCAAACGTAAGTGCATACAGTAGAAAAACAAAATGAAGTCTTAGTAATATCTATTCTGGAAATGCAAAACACTTCATAATCGCAGTAAATAATAAAAGGTTGCAATAAGACATACCCAGTTTGTCATATAAATTATCCCAACTATAATCTAATTTCGACTTAAAAATTCTATTCTTGTTTACAAATTATATACATCCCTTGTCAAATTGTTATTAAAAAAAAATATCGTACATCTACAATTTTCAATTTAATATTACATTTATCATATAACTTATGCTGACTGTTAAGAAACGAAGAATCTATACAAATTTTAAGAAACTATTAAGTAGATGATAAAATATTTCCCAAAATACTGTATTTAAATATCCTATCAAACATATTAAAATGATCTATAAACCTATTGTTTTTTAGTTTAATCAGTCTGAGTTATATGTAATTTGAAAATATCGACATACCACTGCCAATACTCCAATTTAATATTCTTACTTCAAATCAATTTTTTGTCTTTGGGTTACATAAAATCTCATAATTTACTTAAACATAACTCGACAATTAATAAGTTACATACATCAAGACCCGTGAAGATACCAAATCTGTACTTCATGTTTCACCATGAAAACACCCTATGTAACATCATTGTCTTTAGAAAATTTCAAGCATATTTTACATAATTTTTTTCCTTAATGAAGTAAGACACTTATTAAGCGGAGCAATGACTATTTTTCTTCTATAGTCAAAAAATACATAAAACATTCAAACTCGAATTACAATCACCGTGGGATCTCTTAATTTTAAACAATGTGAAATACTCTATCCTAAAAATATCACCTATAAAACTTGTATATACACCTATTACAGTGGCTAGCATTTGAAACTTAAATAATGACATGCCTGAATCATCAGAATAAGTCGTATATTCTTGCTTTGTTATAAATCTAATTATATGATTACATTTTTTTTTCAAAATGTATTTCACCAATTTTATATTAACACTTTTAAAATGAGGCTAGCGACTGTAGTTGAAAACGAATTACTTCATGCTCAATGTTCCTTTAGAAGAAAAAATTACACCATTGCGCGACAAAGCGCGCATCCTTAAACGCTAATCCTCATCACTTAAAGGTTCATACTGCGCTGATAGAAGAGGTTTAGGTTCATTATTTCGCGAACTATCATTAGAATTGTCTTTATGAACGTATGAATATGAATATGCACCTTGAGGTTGTTGATGTGTGGGACGTGTTTGTTGATGTTGGGCATCTTGTTGTGGATTTGAAAAATCATTTTCGTGTTTCTCTTCATCAATAACCATGTCACCAGGACTATCACTACGATCTTTTTCATGGACGTGTTGATCTTGAATATCTTTCTTATCATCTTCGGTCCTCATAACCTCCACAATTCTGTTTTTAACATAATCAAGAGGAGACATGTGGGACTGGGGTTGCTGATACCGTCTGAAATTCTGTTCTGACCAATGGTTATTTTCTGGAGGAGAAATAGGTTCATGATGATACTTTTGAGGTTGGGCAATTCGAATAATTTGTCGTTCATCCTGTTGCTGCTGAACCTGCTGTAGAGGGGTAGCTGAGCGTTTATTCTCTTCTTTCTGCTGTTGCTGTTGCAGTCGTCTCTTCCACTGTTCATTAACGTTTTCTTGCATATGATAATAGGCACCAGGTCGAGTACTGAAATCATGACTAATTACTGAGTCCGTTAGTTCCTTTACAGTAAGGTTCTTATTAACGCCTTCATTATCTAGATCTAAGTTAATGACAGAGGGCGGTCGAATTCCATTGTTATCTTGACTAACTGGAGGATCACGTTGAAAACTTTGAAAAAGTAAATCACCAGCCCGCGGCGGCTCCCTTGCATTCGAAACTACGTCTCCCCTACCTCCTTCAGCCGTCTGATTAATTTGATGTGTTATAATGGCGTCAATAAGACTAGCTGCAGTCATTGTACTGGGATCTGATCTAGGCTGCGGCCGAACCTGCTGCTGTTGTTGATGATATGCTCTTCTTTGTTCATCAATTCTTTGCTGCTGCTGTCTCATTTGCTGCTGGTGCTGCTGAATAATTTGAAATCGATGTGGTTGTTCCATAATGTTGTCAGCAATAGTTTTACCAAGTCCTTCATGTGGGGCACTTGGAACTGGTAAACTTGGTTGCTGAACAGCAATATCTACTAACGACGACAATGCTTCATGTCCTGGCGGAGGATGATACTGAGGTCTTGTATGTCTTTGAATTACTCCTTGCCTTTGCTGGCTTTGTTGAGGAGGTGGAGTTCGGTGTGGACTATTTGCGGGGTAATATTGAGGTTTATCTTGACGTCGGCTAAGCATTTGTTGGGATGTGATATAATCATCAATAATAATTTGTCTTGAGGTCATTTGCGAACTCACTTGTTGATCATAAGGAGATCTTTGAGGATAGTGATATTGGGATTGAGCTGTCATATTTTGCTGAGATGGCATTCTACCCTGCTTAGCAAAATATTCGTATACCCTCTTATCCTGTTGGAGATTATGAGATGTGTGAATTGGAGTACCCTTTGTTATAGAACCCATTTTAGCGTCTGGTATTTGTCTTAAGAGCCCATCGTAACGAGTAGGTTGATTTATAATAGGGGTGCCTAACGTGATAGAACCGCCTTTTGGATTTGCAGGCTGTGGACTGGGTAATTTAACATGTGACGTGCGAATGTGGGCAGGGCTTTTACGTTCTGGATGATAAATATAAGACGGCTCGGATCGATGTATATTAGATGGTGGATGCTTAGAATGGGTTGGTGGTATAGGCTCTCGTGGTTTCTTGATACTAAGATCTAGAGTTTCTGGAATAGAGTCTCTTATGTCTGGTATCTGAACAACCACCAAATCATCTCGTGAACTTTGTATCGGCTCAGGCTGGGGTTGTGAACGAATTGGACCAGAAACAGGCGTAATAGTAGCTCCAATGGTGTTTGCCAACTTCGTTAAGCTAATATCTGCCCTTGATTGAAGTGGCGGTTGAGATCTATTGGCGTTACTAGGTAAAGTGTATTCACTAACAATTGTTACCTCGTTAGAATCGTTATTTAAAATTGAGGATATTGTCGGAGCCATACCTGAACCCTGAATTTGACCAGTTTGCTGAGCTCCTGCATTTTTATTCAACGATATTTCTATTACATTCATTACAAGTTCTTTAACGCTTAAGGGACTAGGAGCAGGCCGAGGTTGATAGTCATTTGTTACAGGGGTAATTGTAGCTGTCTGATAATGATCTGGCGTTTGAGCTTCGTCTGCTGTTTCAGTAGCACTAGAATCATAATCTTCTTTTTTAACAGCATTCTGATTTTGGCCTTGTAATACGGGTGGACTCTCAGCAGCGCTAGTGGTATCACTGGAATGTCGTTCGCGGTCCCTAATTGGTTCTTCACAGCTTGAAGTACTCGAGCCCGACTCTTCTTCGTCAGTAAGAGTTGGTTTTCGATCACCCAAACAATTTTCCAAACTTAAGCGTTTTCTGTTTGCTGCGTAAAAACTTCGCACTTGGTGCGCCAGCTTATTAAGCCTTTCACCTATCAGCTGCCAATTTGCTCCAAGCTCTGTCAGAGCAGTTTTCAATTGTGTAACTTCTTCCTCGGGCCATTCTTCGACTGGTCCAAGCCTTCTTTGAATTCTATTAAAACAGGCGGAACAGCATTTAGTCACACCGCTAGGAATTCGAAATTCAGCCAAGATGGGATCTTTTACGTCAGAAGGTAAGTCCTGTAATCGATAAGGAAACGATCTTAACCTTTTTACTCTTCCTCGCGCGTTTGGACAGGTTGGCAACGGACAGTGTGTATAACGAGATCGGACGCATTTGCAACGGCAAGTATTGCACACTCTTGAATTTAGGGGTACTTCGTCTTCCCTGAGCCCGTACTGAGACGCCTGACTGGGCTGAAGCGGTCTGGAATGCAGCTGAGGTCCTAGTTGTTCATTACATACAATACAGCTACCTTGAATGGTTTTATCTGAAACAAGAATTATCGTTAGCAACTGTATGCAATCTTAAATATATGAAAAAAATCTAATTATCTCAACCAGGTACAATATCTTATCAATTTACTCATAATTACTATACTACTGCGGCAAATAAAAATGAATATTTTATTGAGTAAATTTTTATTAAAAACATAGGAAGGGAGATATTAAAACAGAAATCAAATATTTGGTTATAATAATAAAAAATAAAACGGTACAAAATAAACTCGACCTAGCGAAGAACATTTTAATTCCTTTTAATTCAGTTCGAGTCTCTTAACGATTTAAATTAACCATTTGGTGTTTACCTAAAAATCCAGCTAATTATTTAATTTGAACATTTCCTCGGGCGAAATACGCTCTCTCGTAACAAGGCTCCCTTGGCAAATAATATTAATTAACTCTAAGTGACGTTTATTAAGTGGAGAGAAGGTTAACTTTATTTGAGTTAAATTTATTAAAATGTATATGGAGAGATCGCAGTATTTGCTCGCAGAAATAAAATAAGAGAGCAAACAGAAACGATCCATTCGGAAACAAGTACCTACCCCTGAACGAAAAAAAAAATTGAAATGACAAAATAAATTAATTTTCTTATTTAAATTAGATCAATATGAATATGTGAAACACTAAATAACTATAAATTATTTAGTAAACTAATTTTTTATAGGCTTGTGCACATTTCAGTTGATTATTAAAATTTCGACAGTAGCGCTCGGTGCTGCAGAAATCCGCAATTGTTGACCACAATGAAATAATATTAAAATCGTGACTTTGTCATAATATTTAAGTATTTTGGTTTTTCCTAGTGCCAGTTATTGAAACTATAAAATTCTTAAGTACGAAGTTTATGTGATGTAACGCATGTATGTTTCGGGTAGGAAAAATTTAGTGGAAAAAAATCGAAACTGGACGACGGGTTATGTTGTGACAAGGACAGCATAAATTGTGTGGTTGTTGCGTGCAATAACACTCAATACAAATCACTAACAACGTCGCCTAATTTCGGTTATCGATCGGGGATGAGATTTTTTTAAGTATTTTATTTAGTTTTTATTCTCTATGTTACATTTTAACATAGAGAATAAACAAACCGTATTGAGTCAATATCTTGTAGTACAATTTTATCATCTATACTATGTATATAAAATCCATAAGTGACTGACGGCACTGATTAATCACGATCCTGCTCAAACCACTCAACGTAAGAAGCTCAATTTTGGCATACAGGTGTAGAGGTTCGATAAGGGATTTTTCGAAATTCCATTTCCAAGGGGGTGAAACCACCCCTCAAATATTACAATATTTTTTATTTAAAAAAACGGTCAAGTTTCCGAAAAAAACGCTTAACACGTATATTTTATTTTGTTTTTTTACATATTTTAAGATTTTTTAAAAATGTATAGAGGGTGTTTCGAGGGTGGTCATTGATTAGTCACAATCCTGCTTAAAACGCTTGACGTAAAAAGCAGACTTTTGGAAAACGGATTGACTTTAGGGTGTAGAGGTTCGATAAGAAGGGATTTTTCGAAACTCGAATTCTAAGGGGGTGAAACCCTTCAAATATTAGAATATTTTTTATTTAAAAACCGGTGAGTTTTTCGGAAAAACTCTTAAACACGTATGTTTTATTTTATTGTTTTGCATATTTTAAGATTTTTTAAAAATTTATACAGGGTGTTTCATAAAATATGACCAATAATGAGTAATCACGATTCTGCTTAAACTGCTTGACGTTTAAAGCTGATTTTTGGCAAACGGTCGACTGTGGGGTGTAGAGGTTCGATAAGGAGGGGTTTCTCCATTGTTTTTTCTCATGCTGACATAAATGTGAGAAAATTTTATCCAGTTTGTATGTTAATGGAAATTCTTGCTTTGCTTTATGATCACCATTACAAATGATTAATTCGTTCTTGATTCAAAAGTTCTTGATAAAATTTTACCATAATAAATTCAAAAATTGACACTAATTAATTAATTTTAAATAGAAGTAAATTTCAAATTTTACTTAATTAAAAAATAATTAATCCATTTTAACAATGTATATTGCAAAATATCTGCAAAAACTGCGTAATATTATTAAACTGATAAATGTTTAACTAAAAAATGACAAATCTCACTCAATCTCACAATTCAAACAGTTTTCAATTTTAGTGTTTATTACGGTTTACTGAATTCCTTATTCGTAGGTACTGGCAATTATTCTGAAATTTCCCCGGAGATATAAAACACGACAATGTCAAAATTCAAGCTGAGTATAATCGAACGCATTCCAACCGAGATGTTTTAACAAGCCCATTATATTTGATTTGACGATCTCGGGGGATCGGAACACACCCTGTCGCGTATTCTGCGGCGGGACTTAACAATTATGTTATATCTACCGATTTAAATATTTTTTTTATGACAATACAAAGGTACTGAAAATTCTAAATGTTTATTTCAAAACATTTACCTATATTTACATAAATTGTTTTCTTGGTCTTTTTCTTCTCTACAGCACCGTTCTACGCATAACGTTTTCCTTCTCACAATGCCATAACGCTGTAGGCACCTTTCTTATATGTCGTTAGTTTTTAATAAGTAGAAAAAAACTACAGTTTATAGCTGAATCCGAACAGCACTATTTATAGGCCGTCCTAGAGGGCATATACTTTTTAATCATTCAAGTTCAGATATAATTCTCAATTTAGATAACTATTTATTTTATCAGTAATATTCTTAATAATAATATATCAATATATCAACTACAGAGCCATATATAACAAAGTCTACCTAACAATACGTATTGATTAATCTTGTCATTATAAGTTTATACAGAAGTAAAATATTATCGAATGATCCAAACATAATTAAATTGAATGCCCCGTTTATTTCATTATTACTTTACTTATACCAATTCCTAAAAAAATACTTAAGGGAAGTTATAATGTACTCCCCTGGTAAATAAAATGTAGCGTTTTGTATTATGATCAGAAGACCGATAATGTCTTATCTCTATCAATATCAAACGAGTTACTTAAATTAATAAAGACTGGTAAAAGTATTAAATTAATACACCCTCTATAATGTAATTGAGTTGTTTTTACCATCCGCCGAAAATGGAGTTTTCAAATAAAAAGAGTTATTAATAATATTAATTAATAGTATCCTAATCTTACGTGAAATTTTTAAAATTTGTACGATGAGTACAAAAGCGTTGGATTTATTTACACACACACACACACAATTTGCTTTATTATTTTTATGTGATTGACAAGTCTAAAATCGCACAGTGATGACATAATACTGTATGATCAAAAAAAAAACGGCGTCCAGTTGGCTGGGAAATGACGATCGAAGACATTTCCCATATAAATCTATACTAATATATAAAATCCTTAAGTGACTAACATACTGATTAATCACGATCCTGCTCAAACCACCCAACGTAAGAAGCTCAATTTTGGCATACAGGTTGATTCTAGGGCGTAGAGTTTCGATAAGAACGGATTTTTCGAAATTCCAGTTCCAAGAGGGTGAAACCACCCCTCAAATATTACAATATTTTTTATTTAAAAAAAGGTCAAATTTCCGAAAAAACGCTTAAACACGTGTATTTTATTTTGTTTTTTACATATTTTAAGATTTTTTAAAAATGTAAACAGTGTGTTTCGAAAAAACTGGTCATTGATTAATCACGATCCTGCCTAAAGCGCTTGACGTAAAAAGCTGATTTTTGGAAAACAGACTGACTTTAGGGTGTAGAGATTCGATAAGAAGGGAGTTTTCGAAACTCGAATTCTAAGGGGGTGAAACTATCGCTCAAATATTAAAATATTTTTTTATATAAAAACCGGAGAGTTTTTCGGAAAAACTCTTAAACACGTATATTTTATTTTGTTGTTTTACCTATTTTAAGGTTTTTATAAATTTATACAGGGTGTTTCATAAAATATGACCATTGAGTAATCACGATTCTGCTTAAACTGCTTGACGTTTAAAGCTGATTTTTGACAAACGGATTGACTGTGGGGTGTAGAGGTTCGATAAGGAGGGGTTTCTCGAATCTCAAATTCCAAGAGGGTGAAAACGCCCCTCACATATTACAATATTTGTTATTTAAGAAACGGTTAGTCTTTCGGGAAAACGCTTGGACAAGCATAATTTATTTGGTTTTTTTAAATATTTTAAATTTTTTTTATAAATAAAAAAGTTCTGTTGTTTGAACAGAAGAATAATTGTATCAGATTTCGATATATTTTAATCTAGAAACACGTTTTACTTTACACTCTTTTTGCCAGCAAAAAAAAACTACGTGATATGGGCCGAAACTCCCTCTCACCCATACAAGAGATTCTGCTTGACCCCCACCTCCTTAATTCCTTCACGTGTTCCCTTCTCTGAAAACATCACCGATCGTAATTTCTAAGGTAACTTGAAGTGTTTTTTTCTCGATCTTACGTATATTCTTTATAGAATTTTCAATTTCACTGCTGATAAAAAAGAGATTTTATGATAAAATAAAGAATTAAAATAAGTCTAGAGTACAAATGTAAAAATAAACCTCAGTTCAATTTATTTATTCTTTTCTTCTACTACCTAGATACTGTTCCCATATTCAATATGTACCGCTTCGCGGTCGATTGCTTTCCATAATTAATCGATCCTCTATTTTCCTAAAGAAGCCGTTTTCTGATTGGACGAGTTTTTTTTTAATAACTTTAAAACCTCTCGGTACCCCTTGCGAACGTTCCCCCCAACCTCCAACGCTCCTCTCGAGCAAACAAAACGAAATCAGGCGCGCAGCATCGTACTGTGCCGCCCCCCGGTGTATACATAAAGAGAATCTACACTTTTCTCTAATTAAATTAAATATTAATATTCAATTTTGAACGGGAGCACGTAATGGGACGCTTAACTTTGAGAATATTTTATTATATTAAGTGTTTCGGACATAATGGAAACGGCGCGCAATTGCCTGTCTGCTGCGCGAGCGTGTTCAATTTTT